AAGGATTACAGAGCGAGGAAAGGAAAGAGAGGGGTGGGGGTGGGAGGAAGATTTAAGGAATTGGCTGATACAATTGTAGAGGTTTTACAAATCCAAAATCTGCAGGCTGGCAGGGTAGAGACCCAGGGAAGAGTTGCAGTTCAAGTCCAAAGGTGGCCTGCTGGCAGAATTCCCTCTCCTTCTGGGGAGGTCAGTCTTTTTCTTTTAAAACCTTTAATTGGTTGGATGAGGCCCACCCACATTATGGAGGTAATCTGCTTTACTCAAAGTCCACCAATTTAAATGTTAATCGCATTCAAAAACACCTTCAAGGAAGCATTCAGAATGTTTTACTAAATATCTGAGCACTGTGGTTTAACCAAGTTGATTTACAAACTTAACCATCGCACTCCACTCCTTGTCAATTTGGCACCCATACACATCAGCTTAACCATACTTAACCTCCAAATAAAGATAATGAAAATATGATAATTCCACCTAACATGATACAACTATCCTGTATACAACTGAAAATGCACTAACCCTTTCCATGGAAGAGAAGCCAAAGGCCTTGTGGGGTTTACTCTTCTTGATATCCCATAATTTAACTATTATGTAAAGTTAACAATTCTATGATATATATAATATAAAGTCAAAACATCTTATATTACATGATAAGGGAATAAGAGAAGAGAACAAAGATATCACCCTCTTCCCCCCCCCAAATAACGAAGAAATACTCACAAGTACAATCCTTGTTTCTGTAACTGGTCACATGGTTGTAGCAGGTATTTATAATTACCTTTTCCGACTGCCCATTCCATATTTTTTTTTTTTAATCCTCACCCGAGGATATTTTTTCATTTTTTATACAGATAGAGTGGGAGGGAAAGAGAGGAAGGGAGAGAGAGAGAGAGAGAAACATCGACGTGAAGGGACACATCGAGTGGCTGCCACCCGCACGACCAACCAGGGCCGGGGACAAACTGCAACCGAAGTACGTGCCCTTAGCGGGAACTGAACCCGGGTCTCTCCGGACCGCAGGCCGACGCTCTAACCGCTGAGCCAAACTGGCCAGGGCCCATTCCATATTCCTTTTGCCCTCCGTTGGTCATGGTTCTTTACCTAGTGGGGTGACACAAACCTTCATTCATGAAGGGCCTGGGCCATTAGTAGTCCATTAGTGCCTGAATTCGGTTGTAATTTTCCACTGACTTTAACCACAAGGCATGGTAATATTAAGAGATGCTCTAAGGGAGCTGTATTCCAGATATATTTCTCCTTATCTCCACTGTGATGTTCAAGGGGTATGTCTTGGCCCCACCTTCTTGAAACAGCCTATCGCAAGTCACTTGGCCATCTTGGAATTTTCCTCAGGTCCTGATTCTGCATCGTGCTCAGGGCCCTCTCATTCTGCCCAGGCCAGTCCCTGTGCTCATTGATGCACACACATTCCTGGCAGGGAAAGCTCAAGATGGAGTTGGCTGGAGCTGCCCTTTGGCATCATTTTTTCTTAAGTGGCCCAAGTAATAGCACCTGCTTTTGACCCTCTGCTTGTCAGAGGGCCAAACTCACAGACATTTTAAGCTTAAAACAAACAGTTACAAAGCTGAACTTTGCCTCAGTGACAAACACACAAACATCCAGAACTCCAAATATTGTACTGTATCACTAGTTAGCTTTGGTTAGTATTCCCAGGTAAAGACAAGCATTGAAGTAATACACATAAAGCCTGGAAGAGGTCTCCTGGGGTGTCTTTTACCCTCTATTAACTGAGGATTAAGAGGATTCCAGGTGTACCTGGCTTGTAACCTGCTGGAAGAGGATCCTACGTGCTGATAGTGCTGAGGGAGCCTTGCTACGTGCCCACGAAGGTGAGAGAATACTGAGCGTGAGAACTATCAGCAGAAGGAAAACCTTCAAGTCTTGGGAAGGGCCTGGTATGAGAGGAGGGGGTTGGTGAGGGGCAAATAGGCCTTTGGAAAGAGCTGGCAACCCAAAACAAGAGGCAGCAGCTTTGCAATTCAATTTCCCTTTTGAAATAGCAGGCTCTATTTCTGGTGCAATATGCAGAAAATAGAAATAATACACATTCATTGGAAAAAAATTGAAAATATATTAGATAAGCATATGGTTTTTATCCTGATTTTGAAAAGTTTATTGTAACATATTACATATTTGAAAAAATAGAATTCGAAGTTCAGAAAATTAAATCAGATTTGAGGGTTAAGAATCTTGTCCCATAATTTTTTTCTTTCAAAGTGTATATGATCAACTAGAACCTATAAATATTTTTCCTAATTGAGGGCATCAGATCATGGCATCTTTATTGTCCTCATTGAAAGAAGTTTCCATGTATTTTCCAAGTAATTCCAGCTTCTGTTAGATTACTCACAGAAACAATGCCCAAATGGTTAAGACAAATTCTGTACTCCAAATAGCTTTATTATCATTGTCTTTCAAAGCAAGAACCTTAGGACAATTGGTGGTGTGCTTTAAAAGTCTTTGTAGTGGGACAGACTTGGGTGGGATCTGTCTCTGCCACCTCCTAGCTGTGTTGCTGTGGGCTAGTTATTTAACCTCTCAAGGCCTCAACTTCTTCAGCTGCAAAGTGGGGATGTAACCTTGAGCTGCTTTTAGAGGCCGCTTTTAGGACTGTTGCAGAGATTAAGTGAAATAAAGCACACGAGCCCTGGCCGGTTTGGCTCAGCGGTTAGAGCGTCGGCCTGCGGTCCGGAGAGACCCGGGTTCGGTTCCCGCTAAGGGCATGTACCTCGGTTGCAGTTTGTCCCCGGCCCTGGTCGGTTGTGCGGGTGGCAGCCACTCGATGTGTTCCTTTCACATTGATGTTTCTCTCTCTCTCTCTGTTCCTCTCTCTCCCTCCCACTCTACCTGAACAAAAAATGGAAAAATGTCCTTGGGTGAGGAAAAAAAAAAAAAGAAATAAAGCACACGAGGCACCTGGTCTAGTATCTGGTACAACTGCCCAGTTGTGTTACTGAAGACAGGAAACTGCACTGGGTTATCATAGCATTCCAAGAATAAAGCCCAATGCCTGGGATATAGTAAGGGCTCAATCCGTGTCAACTGAAGGAAGGGCTGCTATAGTTTGGGGTGGAGTGAACAGAGGTGGGAACACAGTTGTTTTTTATCTCCCTATATTCTCCCCTTTTTAACGATCCCAATTATTTCAAAATAACTTTGTTTAAATTTCCAGTCTACGACGCCCTACTCTGTGGCTTAAACATTTTAATTAAATCTATTAGAGTCAAGAGACAGAAAGGCAGTGGGGATGCAGGTGCTAATACCACCCCTCTTTTTCCCTTAAGGTCCCAGCACTTGTTTTCCTTAATCATTCACTTCAGGGAAAACATTGGGCCTCCAGTTCTCATTATTGGCAGAATTCAGTATTACAGTCAAGTGAAGACCACGGGCTCTTTTTAGCACACTAGATTCTGAGCACCACAGTCTTGTTTTAGAAAAATACATTGGGCCTTTTCTTTCCTTCACTGTTAGTTCTAGAAAAAGCCATTTGGTACTTCTAAAATTCTGCAGGTTAAGGGTAAGATTTCTTGCAAAAAAAAAAAAATTGTTTTTAAAAGAAAATTTAATTGCATCAAGACAAGCAGAAGACCTGTGGGTTTGGGATAGTAGTAGATGGTGTTATTATTCTCTATCCCCCAGCAGAACTCAACCCAGAGCACTGCACACGTGGGTGGGCTCCTGGAGGGCTTCCAGGTGGCTGGCTCTAGGCAGGATTTCACTGCATTCATCTGGCATTCAATGCTTAATACTGAGGGCAGAGAAGACCAGGAGCATTCAGAGATGGGGCATGGCCAGATTTAGCATGGGAAGGCTGGGGCCCAGGAAGATGATGCAATGACTAGATTGAGCTGAGACTCAAAAAGGTCATGAGCTGGGAGGCAACTAGCTGATACAGGGATAGAAGCAAACACTGCAGCTTTCTGGGCAGGGGGAATCGTCTGAAGGTGTTTCATTACAACTGAGTCTTTTGGGACGCTACGTCTTTTACAAAGCCTGTCCTGAACCCCTGCCAGATCTCCACTACACTGACATACCCCTTCTTTAGAAGATTTACAGGAAACTTCTAATGATTCATTTAGCTTATCTACGTATCTCATTTCCCTCTTTGAACACAAGGACTGAGGGCTCTTTCTCTCCCAAACCTCTTGGTGTTGAAATGAGATAAATATGCTAAGCACCTAAGACCCTGGCCTGAGACTTTTTATCCAGGCAGAGGAATTGCTTTTATGGAGGAAAGGGGTGGGAGTGAGGGGAGGAGTAAGAAGCAGACATAATTTGGGCACAGGATGTGTTGAGAGTGACCTGAGTCCCACACTGTTTTTTTTTAAATCCTCACCTGAGCACATTTTCCATTTATCTTTAGATAGAGTGGGAGGGAGGGAGAGAAACATCAATGTGAGAGAGACACATAGACTGCCTGCCTCCTGCAGGACCCAGGCCAGGGCCAGGACAAATCGCAGCCCAGGTACGTGCCCTTGACCGGAATGGAATCCGCAACTCATTGGTCTGCAGGCCCAGTCTCTAATCGCTGAGCCAAACCCACCAGGGCCTCACAGTGTTTCTTATTCTGGAACTTGGCCGGGGTGGGGCAGCCTGATCCGTGCTGACTGTCCTCTAACGTCGTTCTGTTGAAACTCTAGGAAACTGTGCTATTCAACTGTTGCTAAAGACCCATGGAAACAAATCTTTAAATAAATTTCGTCTGATCAAAAGATAAGTTTATAAACCACCCAACCAACCCTGGTGAGCTCTAAAGACAGCAAACACATAGGACCTGGAAGGAGCCTCTTCCTCCCCAGGGTTTCCTCACTTCCTGAAGCAGCACCCATGGGCTCCAGGAGGGGGGCGGCGGTGAGATCTGAGGCCGGTTTAGGTCGGAGATGGACTGGCAGCAGGGGGCGCCTAGCGAGGAGGACAGGCAGTTGGGCGCTTAACGACTAGGGGAACTCTGCCGGTGCAGGCATTGGCCAGATGCCCCAGCGCCAAGGAGGTGGCGCGGGAGCATTCCCCGCCCTGGCGACACCCGCGGTCTGGACCCGCCTGCGCAGCCGGAACGTGGGAACCCGAGGTGTACAGGCGCATCCGGGTAGCTGAGGCCGCACGAGTGCGAGCCGGTAGAGGGCCTTCGAGAAGAAAACGGCGACAGCGCCCCCAGTCGGTCTGCAAAGCCAGCAGCGCGGATACCTGTGAAGCCCCGGATTAAGGCGAGCTCATCAGTTGAGCTCCCCACAGCCAGGGTCCCTGCACATTGGTTTGGGGTAAGAGCAGGGGTCCGCATCTCTGCCGCTGGGGTGGGGTGTGCCGGCGCCCTCTGCTTGGTTTGGCCTTGCGCGGCCCCTTGGCCGGGTCGCCGGTTGCGGGTGGGGAACGGGGAACGAAGTCTTCTAGGCCGGGCCCTGCGGCAGCGGCAGAGTAAAGGTAGGAAGGTGGTCCGATCCTGCCCGAACTCGTCTCAGCCTCAGATAGTCCTCACCTGCCGCCCTCCCGGGCCTTCTGCCCGCCTTGTGGGAGCCTCGCCCGGTGTTACTAGGACTAAGGTGCTCTGCAGGAGGCCCAGGTTGAACAAGCGGCCCGAGGCTCCCAGGTGAAACCCTTGGGACTCATCCTTCCCTGCTGCTTCATTTTACAGAAGGGGATCCTGACCCCGAGAAGGAAAGGAAGCGGCCCAAGGTCACATTGTAGTCCTGCCTTCCAGCCCCGCGCTTTGGACACTGCCCCCTTCTCCACCGTATCTCCTCTGTTCTTTCCGGCAACCCTCCTCATCCTCCCGGGTCCTCCAGGAGGTTCTATTCTCCCGAACAGGGACACGCTCCCTTCTTCCTGCTGCGCCCTCTGGAAGGATGCTAGACAGAGGTCCGGCCGCCGGTCCAGCTGCCTTGAGCACTAGCCAAGCCGGCGGTTGCTAGAGTATCGGACGGGGCACAGGACCGAGGCAGGAGGAGGACCGAGCAAGGTGGAGGCGCCGCGGTAGCAGGCTGAGGATACTGGGGTGCTGGTGTGGCGGTGGGGCCCGAAGCCAAGGGGGCGCATGGGCGCGAGTACAGTGGGGCTTTGTCTGGGCGGTGCCACTTCAGCCAATGGGAACGCGGCTCCGGCCGAGCCCCCGCGGCTCGGAGCCACAGCCCGGCGGGAAGGGAAGGCGGCCCTGAGATTGGCTGCGCCGCGGGCCTGCGGCGGCGCATGCGCGTCTCCGGGGTGTGAGCTCTGCTGCAGGCTGGCTGGAGAGAGCCTGAGACTGCAGGGGCTGGGGTGGTCTGCAAACCTGGGGTGCACGTCACTGCTGGGGGAGGGATGTGGCTGCGCGCGTTGTTGAGCTCTGCGTGGTTTTTTCCAGCCGGTCAGCCAAAATCTGAACATAGTCAGCTGATGAGGAGTCACCGTCTAACCCTGCGAGGTGATGCAGAGGCACATGTTTCACCATGGAGGGCCGCCCGCAAGCCTCCTGCTGCCGAGATCCTTTATGACGCAGCAAATGTACTTTCTACCCAAGCGTTGGATCCCGTCCCTGCATAGGGCATAACTCCCGGCAGGCGAGGAAGCTGACGTTTGAAATGTGTGTAGCCTTCATATTATCTCCCAATACACTTTTCTAGAGCGTCTGCTTTCTGTCAAGCACCAGAGTAGATATTTTGGAGGAACCAGAAATCAGTGATACTACACATTGGTCCTATCTGTGGAGCACTCACAGTCCAGGTGGGGAATGGTGGTTAGATGGGGGCTGTGAATGGTTGTAAACAGAAGTATTTCTAATATTACACATTACCCTTCCTAGGTAAGTACTGTTACAGAGGCACAAAATTAAGGAGTGAAATGCAAATTTGGGGAGAGATTGATTTTTTTATTTAGGGGGTCAGGTGAAGAAGTCAGATTTGGTATGGGATGAGCAAGGCCTGGAAATTGGGAAGTACAGGGCTTGTTGAGGGATGGTGTAACAAATGGTATAATGAATAGATGAGAAAAGTGTAGTTGAAGATAGAATTTGGAGATTTTGGATAGAATTTCCCCCTTGTATACTCTGATCTGAAATGTGGTAAGCACTTATGAATTAAATGGTTCCTTCATCTATCAGTTGGACTAATGTAATTTTTTATATCTGCACCAAAATCTTGAAAATATCTTTAATTCTCTTTCATATCCTACATTTAATTTGTTAGCAAATCATAGTAGGCTCTACCTTTAAAGCATAGCCAGACTATGACCACTTCTAATTACCTGCATGGTTTCCACCAGACCTGGAAGCCCTTTTATGTATCTCCAGGGAGTACCTTTTCACATTTCATTCAAGTTGTGCAGTGCATAACTTGCATGGTTGTACACTGTGGGCCTAGATTACTACCATAGCTCTTTAGCCTACTGAGAGTTATCATATTAAAGTATGAATCTGATCATGGTATTCCTCTGCTGAAAGCTCTTTCAGTTCATTCAAATATTATATGCCTACTGTGTATAGGGCACTGTTAGGCATTGGAGATGCAAGTGTAAACAAAACAGACAAAACCCCTTGGTGTCATAGTTTACGTTCTAATGGGACTGAAAGACAAATAAGATAAGTGCATATGCATAATGTTATAATGTAAGTTGCCAAGGAGGGAAAAAAAAATAGAAGTAGGGAAAGGGGATAGAAGATGTCGGGGTGGGATTGATGGGGTGGCCAAGGGATGTCTTACTGAGTAAACATTTGAGTAAAAGACTAAGGGAGAGGATGAGCCCTGTGGATAAGAGAGGAAGAATGTTCCAGGTAGAGGGAAAAGTAAGGGCAAAGGCCCTGAAGCAGGAGTTTGCCCGTCATATTCCAAGGACAGCAAGAAATCTGCTGTGACCGAGGTACTGTGAACAAGGGTGATGAGGTCAGAGAAGTCATGGGGAGCTAGCTCATGGAGAGCCTTGTAGACAATCTACAGTGATTTTGGCTTTTACTGTGAGTGAGAATTTGGTGCAGGAGTGACATGGTCTGATTTCTTTCTCTTTTTGCATTTTCATCCTCTTTTGCATTTTTTATTTCTCAATTACAGTTTACTTTCAATATTATTTTGTATTGGTTTCATGTGTACAGCATATACTTTGCAAAGTGTTTCCCCCACCTGGCACCATACATAGTTATCATAATATTATTGACTATATTCCTTCTGCTGTAGTTTATATCCTCATGACTGTTTTGTAACTTCCAATTTGTAATCCTTTTCCTTTTTTTTATTTTTGTAAATATGATTTTATTGAGGAAGGGAAAAGGAGAGAGATAGAAACATCGATTGGCTTCATCCCGCTTGGACCTGGAATTGAACTGGTGACCAACTGAGCCACACCAGCCAGGCCCAATTTGTATTTCTTAATCCCTGTACCTCTTTCACCCAGTCCCCCAAACCCCTGACATGGTCTGGTTTCTATTTCACATGATCATGCAGGGAGTGTTGAGCAACATCTAAAGTGGGGCTAGGATGGAAGCAGGGAGCCCAGTTGGGAGGCTGCTGCAGTAATCCAGGTAAGAAGGGATGAAGATTCAGACAAAGATGATAGCAGAGGGCAGTACTGCTCAGATCCCACCAGCCACAGTTTCTGATGCCAGCTATGCAGCTGCCACTGTCATTATGGCCTATTACAAAGCCACCGACTCGAAGTGTGAGCAGTTCCAGAGGTACTTGGAGAAGTCGAAGGTGCTGGACATCCTGACCAAGGTATTGGTAGCCTTTTATGAAGAACCAGAGAAACCTAATAGTGCTTTGGAGTTTTTAAAGCATCACTTAGGAGCTACTAGCCCAGAAAATCTAGAAATAGCACTGCTTCACCTAGAATTGGCAGAAATGAAAGAGAAATATGAAGCTGTTGTAGAAGAAAATAAAAAACAAAGCAAAGCTTGCTCAGCATGAACCACTTCAGGAGGAGAAAGGTGCTGAATAGGGTTCTTTGCAGTTGAATAGACCCTGAAAAGTGGTTTTGTATGACTTGAATAGTTTGTATAGTATATAATCTTTTATGAACAGATGCTATAGAATTTATATTAAATCCACTTATTACACATTAACTGTTATAAACATACATACTAACAATCTTAATCTGCTTAATCCTGCTTAATCTGGCAGCTGTAACAATCACCAATAAAAACAATATAATTTTATTTTTGATCTTAAAAGCAGGAGAATCCAAAGTGAATCCTGAAAAAAAAATCTAAACGCAGCCATCTAATATATCACCTCAGAAGACATTTTGTTCAGAGAAACCCTTTGGGCTGAAAGAAAAAAAAATTCTGTTTATTAGTCTGACTAGGAATTATGGTACTGGTTTATTTTAGCCAGGGAAGGCTGGCACGGAGCTGTTCCTTGGTTAGTTCAGGACATGAGCACAGGTATAGTTATTATTTAAAATGATGAGGTCCGCTCTCCCTCTTAGGAGCGCACCCCCTGCCCCAGCGGCCTTTCCCTTCCCTCGCTGTCCCCCTTCCTTGCTTTTGCCTTTGTCTCTCCTAAGCCCAGGGGCCCTTTTGCTTCTGTAAGTTGTTTCCTTAGCCTGCACAGCCCAGCTGGCTCACTTCTACTACCTCTGTAACTTTCAAAATAAACTTTCTCTTATAATTTGAGTTTTGGGCTCTGAACTCTTTCTTTGCTGAACTCAAAAAAAAAAAAAAAGAAAGAAAGAAAAATAAGAAGAAAATGATCATATTGTTTATATTCTCTGTAGGTATTAGATAAGACCAGGGTCTCAAAGTCTGGGCCATTCTTACTAAATATTATTATTACTGAATGTTAAAGTGTAGCACAGTATTTTGCAGACCAACTATAAACAACATAAACTTGACAAGAACCCAACAGGATAAATGTAGTCAACTGCAAAGAAGAAATCAATGTGTAATGACCAAAGAGTGTACATATTTACTTGCTGCAAGTAAATAAAACTACCTAATGACAACCATGTCTTGTTCTTAATAGAACACCCCAAGTGATGAACCCCTTGAGTTCAGTAACACAGGCAGCTGGAGAGATCTGTTTGACAGAGATGCTTTTGCGTGGGTTCCCCATTAATCTTTTGCTCGTTTATATAATGTGAAACAGATAACTCTTGCTAGCACTTTTCATTAGCTACCCCTGTGTGTGCCAGTTTGAACTCTGACTCTATGTTTTCCTTCAATGCAATTTTGCCCTATATGATAATGTTGCCTTGTTTGCTCTGTTCTTCTGTGGATCCTGCTTGCACATTTTCATGTTGACTTTTCTTGTTGACTTTCAGTTTGCTAAAATAGCAGTTACCCTGATTTTAATTTATATAACTGAACAGGATCATACTTTCCCCTGCCTTATTTAGTTGCTTAGTTGAACACAGAACAGAGGCAATATAAAATTCTGGGTCCAGCCCTGGCCGGTTTGGCTCAGCGGTTAGAGCGCCGGCCCGCAGACCAGAGAGTCCTGGGTTCGGTTCCCACTAAGGGCATGTACCTCGGTTGCAGTTTGTCCCCGGCCCCAGTTGGGGTCATGTGGGTGGTAACCACTCGATGTGTCTCTCTTACATCAGTGTTTCTCTCTCCCTCCCTCCCACTCTATCTGAAGATGAATGCAAAAATTCCTCTGTTGAGGGTAAAAAATAAATAAAATTCTGGGTTCATACACAAGCTAGGATGAGGGGGGGAATGTGCTGTATATTATGGAAAATTATAGTTTGTGGATATAATTATATAGTGCTCCCCCTGCCCAAATTATTTATCTAGCCTTCAATTAATTTTATCCTCATTATCCCTGTGAAGTGGGTAAGGCAAGTATGAGGGGAGTTTGGGTGCCGAATTTTTATTCCAAAGACTGATGATAACAAAGTATTTACTAACTGTGGAAACTTTAGCATATCTATTAACTGCTCTGAGAGTCGCTTTCCTCATGTGTTAAATGAGAAGAATAATGTCTGTGCTGCCTGTCTCACAGAGTTGTTGTGAAAGTCAAATGGAATGTATATGAAAGACTTGTAAATGGTAAAACACTATATTCTTAAAAGAGAAAGAGAGAGAGAGAGTAGCAGAGGATCCTAGATACATTGTGAAGGTGGAGTCAGGATTTGCTGACAGCTAGGCTGTAGAGTGTGCTAGAAAGAGAGTCAAGAATGAAGAGGAGCCCTGGCTGGTTTGGCTCAGCGGTTAGAGCATCGGCCTGCGGTCCAGAGAGACCTGGGTTTGGTTCCCGCTAAGGGCATGTACTTCGGTTGCAGTTTGTCCCCGGCCCTGGTTGGGTCATGCAGGAGGTAGCCATTCGATGTGTTCCTTTCACGTCGATGTATCTCTCTCTCTTTCTCTCTCTCTCTCCCTCCCACTCTATCGGAACAAAAAACATTCTTGGGTGAGGATAAAAAAAAAATGAAGAGGACGTAGAGGAGCGGATGCTTGGGACCATGGCACAAACTGGACAGGTTATGTTTAGTGAAGATGTTGGGTGAGCAATTGGATATGTAAGTCTGGAGTTCAGAGGAGAAGGCTGGTGGGAGATAAACATTTGGGTTGGCAACATGTTAATCATATTTAATGCTATGAGAGCTTGCCATGGTAGTGAGAAGAGGCCAAGAACATAGCCTGAGACTTCATCGTTTAGTGGTTTGACTTGAATTGCTAGGCCAGCCCTGTTTTCCTAGGAATGGAAGGCCTGCTTAATCTGGCAGCTGTAATTATGGTACGTTTGGGAGCTCTGGTAACACTTTCTCTTGGAGAAGGACAGTACACAGTTTTGCAGTAGCCTAACATAGACTACTTGTATTTAGAATTCATAACTTTACTTAGGTAGGTGAGTAAACCCACTTAGGTCACCCTAGATGTTATAAGAATTGTGTAACCATATCCTGTAATTTGCTAAGAGTTTAACAGAAAGGCTGAGACTTAATTAGTTAAACTTTCTTTCATACCTATTCCATCCCTGACATTGAAGATTGCCAGACTTGTTTTTCAGGTACAAGCTCAGGATGATTTGCTGGAGCAGGGGCTGATCCGGCTGGAGGCAGGCCAAAGCAGCCTGGAGGACCCTCTGCTGACCTCCTCCTGAACTATTCTCATTATACTCTCTTTATTATACCAAACTCTCCTCTCAGGCAGAGATTTTCCACCCTTTTTGAATATGTGATGTATGTATAGGCATGTTTTCCAACTGCACATGTGCAGGAATGTCCCCACCTATACATGGGAAGACAACTCTCACCTTGATGTTTATGCATGATTTCCCTGGATAAAGATGAATCTAATCCCTTATTCCGGGACATGCCTCGTTGGGAAGTGAACCCCTGGTGTGTCCTTGCTTGCTGACTTGCAATAAAATTTGTTCCTTCTGACAAAATCATCTCGGAGCTGACTTTTAGCTAGCAACTATTGAGTAATAGGACCCTGCCTGGTCCCGCAACAAATCAAGAAGTACAAGGCGGAGGCCCATGTTCCTGTTGTCATTATAAGATCTACATTAGGGCATTCTCAGAATATGGAACAAATTTAAGAATTAATCATAATGATCTGAGAAAGAACCTGCTTTCGGTGTGTTTTAGCCAGTATTGTTTTGGCTGCAAACTTTAAGCTGCTAATCAACATGGAGAATAAAGACAATAGTGCATGCTGTACAGAGCTGGAGGGCTGGGGGGCAGCAGGGCCTCACTGGCAGATCTGCCTGTCATTTGATGGCTGGCATCAATTTACCAACAGAAATCTCAGTTAGGGGTGGGGTGAAGGAAGAAACGTTATTCAGAGCAAGCTCAACTGTGATATAGCACTGCTGTGAGAACAGCATAGCTGTGGAACAGCTCAATAGTGTTGCAGCTCAATTATGAAGCAGCACAGTTGTTAAGAGGCCCTGGGTTGGGATGGCTCTGGGGCTAGTCTCTCTCTGGCTAGGCAGCTTTGCTGTGCTCTGGCTAAACATTTCAGTATTTCAGCTTTAGCTGGGGAGACACAGTCTTCAGTGGAAAGGGAAAGTATACTTCCAGCAGCAGAGGGGAGCTGACTTATATAGACAGAAGTTCCAACCCCTGGTCCCTGATTGGTCTGCTCTAATGCAAGGACTCCAAATCCTCCCAGTTTGATTGGTCCAAAAGGCACCTCCCTGATTGGTCAGAATGGAGCCTGATTGGTCTGATTGGTTGGTGAAGATGCTGATGTGGATATATAGCTGTGTGGCTCCAGCTGGACAGGGAAAGCCTCAGTCCTGTTGGTTGAGATAGAATTCCAGGAACTCCTCTATAAGGGCTGGCTCAGAAGGCAAGAGCACAGCTCAGTACAGAGGGAGGTACTTCAGTGCAGGCTTCTCCCTGAAGTGCAGTTTGCATGAGAGGGTCCTGTGTAGAAATGGCTACTAGGCTCTGTTTTTTTTTTCAAATTGAGCCCAGTTAGCCACCAGGTATTTTCTTTGTCAGGGTCCACATGCCGAAGGAAGCTCTGTTCTCCCCTGCCCCACCTCTGTCTGTGCCCGAATCCGCTCTTTCTCTGCAGATTGGCTTATCTCCATTTCTGTAGTGTCAGGCCCTGTGTAGCATAACTGCCCTCTTCTCCACTCCAGCAGCCAGATCACATATCCCTGCCCCACAGAGGCTGATTTGCATTCTTTCCCAGTGCCAGGGGACAGAATGATGCGTTCATCTTGGGTCGGGTGTCTCTCCCTGACCCAGTACTTCATGGCCTGGAGGAGGTCTCAGTGTCCAACTATAGTTGAAGAGGCCAAATCATGTGAGTGAAAGGCAGGTCTGAGACACCCAAAAGATGACCACTGCAGAGAGTGTTTGTGAAGTGTTCTTTGGGGAGAACTGGCCATCACCTAAGTCTAATCTGGTGACTAATTCAAGTGTCTGTATTAGGTTTGCCTAATTAGGGCCTCTGTTAAACACAAGTACATAGAGTCACTGCAGTCTTTATGATAAAATGGTGGTGAGAACAACGTCTGCTATATCATTTGATGTTCCTATATAATGCTTTTAGACTTTTGTTCCAGAATAGTTATTTTTCCAAGGAATAACAAGCATCTTTTTTGAATAAGGGCTTTAAAACTTGTCAGGTTGCCCTTTTGCATGGCCTCAAGGAAGCCCTCATTAACTCTATGTGCAGTTAGCATGCCTAGCTGAGTTGAGCTGGAACTTTTAGACAAAACTATAATAAGTGATCAGAAGGGAAATAACCAAAGGATAATATACTCTATCTAGTGAGGGATCTCAAACTCAAATGCCCATAGTATCCAGGCATTTAACAAAGGAGATCTGGGTAGGCTTAAGATAGTAAGTGAAAACTGTTTGTATTGAGTTCAAGCATAACTTAGCTACCTAGTTACATTGCCTTTTAAAACACTAGGCTGTCAAAATGAAACAGCTAAATAGAATAGAGGCTGCCAGTTGTCAGACCTTGGAGTCTCCCACAGCTTGCTGGTCTTAAGGTCCTCAGTATGGGGTCCCTTCATAGGATGGTTTCCTGCCTAAACCCAGTTTGCCCTCCCCAGTGGGACAGGGCCTTCCCTTCCCACTTGGTAGTGCCAAGGTCCATTCAGACTTCCTGTTCAGAAACAAGTGACTTCTCTTTCCTACCTAAGGCCTGCTCCTCATGTTCCTGTTTCTTGGTGATGTCCCACCTCTTCCGAGGATGTCAGTACTGGGAATGCCTGTTCCTTGCAGGGTACACCCTTGATCCTGACCCACAGGAATGAAACCAGCTATGTCCTCTGCCAGATAGTCCCGCCAGAGTGCAATAAGGGAGCCCAGCATCAGGGCAAGGTTGCACATTGTATCCGTGTGCTTTCCGTAGGTTACCCGTGGGTTATGCATTGAAAATGGAAAGGGGCTGCTCTTGAGAGCAGACACAAGTGTTCTAGTGTTAGAATAGTTTCTCCCAGATTACAGATTGATATGTGAGCATCTTGTTTTTGCAATAATATATCAGTTTGGTCCCCGGTACTCAAGCACCCCTGTGTCAAGTCTCCCTGGGGCAGCTAATTAAGCTCAAGGTTAAGGAAACTGTTCCCCAACCCCCACAGTTGCTCTGCGAGTCTTCAGCACCTGCTGCCCACAACGCTTTCTGATTCTAAACCATAAGGCAAGTGAGTGGCATTTCAAGTTTGAGAACTTAATATTTACAGAGACTGAAGCCCAGTAGTACAAGCACTAAGATGGCAAAGAACTCTGAAGAGTATGTGGGAATCCCACTACCTACAATACTGTGTTTGGAGTGAAAATAGCAATATGTTTAAGAAACTTAAGGAAAGAAAAATAGATTTACAGGTCTGCCATTCTGCATATAAGACACAACACTGTGAATAGTATATTATTCAAGAGACGAGCTTTTGTGCACTTTAAGCTATTTTGACTCCTGCAGCACTTTTAGATAGTGCTGACTCTAAGGAAAATAAAATTCAAAGCCACAAGTATTGAGCATAAGGGAAGGAAAGGCTTTAATTATAGACAGCTGGATTTGAAATCATCCAGTGGTGGTGACCTCAGACTGTAGTTCTGGTGAGAGGAGGTGGAGATGTGTGTGCTCAGCCAGCTTGGTCAGTGCTTGGGTGGGATGGGGGTCACCCAGTTAAAGAATCTGAGTCTGGAATGGGCATCATTGGTATGGGCCTTCCATGGAGGGCCAGTCTGGATTGGGGGTGGGGGGTCTGTGAGCACACAGCTCATCCCTACTCAGCAGAGATTCTCTAAGTACCTCTTTGGTATCAGGTTTCTAGGTTTCTTCTAGGCATGGGGAAGGAAGTGGGGGAGAATTCAGTGGAGAACTAGATGGACAAGGTGCCTGACTCACCATGCTTATGATCTAGAAGGGGAAGATAAAGTAGTGAAACAAGATAATTTTGGATCGAAGAGTGATCTTATAGAGAACAACCTCTGTGTGTTGCATTGGGACTTGGGGACAGTCTCTGTGAAATCTGAGGGTCAGAAGGACTCAGTCATCTGGACTGAGGAAGAACAAGGGCCAGGGTCCTGAGGCAGAAAAGAGCTTGACCTTCACAAGAAACTTCCAGAAGGTCGGTGTGGTTACAGTGCAGTGAGCATAGGGGAGCCGTACCAGACCAGGTTAGGAGGGCAGGCAGAGGCTGGCCCCACAGGCCTGGGAAGGAAGCTTTTAGACAAGGGGGTCACATAATTTGACTGCGTGCTGGCAATGGAGTGTGGTGAGTAGGATCAGGAGTGGGGAAGCAGGAGCCTGGAGATCCCCGTTTGTTTTCCTTTCCTGAGGATTAAACAGATTAAACCTCCACCGGCCTCCTGCAGTGCACTTGCAGTGGTTGGCTAGTTAGTGAACTTATTATAGACCTGTTGGCCCAGTTAGGTTTGGGTGACAACAAAAAGGCAGGGGAGGAGCTGCCTGCCAGACAGAACCTTGTGCTGATAGGAACAGTATATAAACCAACCAGAGGCAGGTGTGCAAAGGAGGGGCTGGGACGGTTGACCAGGAAAAGAGCTACATGTGTTCCGCTGTGGTTCCCCTGCCAGCCTCCCCTTCCTTCCCTGAGGCCAGAGGAGTCATCATAACAAATGACCTGATCAGGAAGGCAACCAGTCCACGCTCTGATCCACAGTTAATAATACACAAGTTGCCCTGGTGCTGGGTAGCCTTACTGGGATACTAACTCTACAAGGCCTTGTTGCAGTAAGGTTGAGTTAACCTTGAAGGGGTGGTAGGGTGGTGGGAGAGACTGTGTGTGTGTGTTTTAATTTAGGTTGATTAAAGTGTGTCTTATTTGATAACTCCAGTCCTCATGCTGTAATGAGTTACTGATGAATTCAGCCTCAGAGCCAGTCCCTGTGTTTGGTGGGGTTGGAAAGAGAGGTGAGTAGCTCAGTCAAAGGATACATGGTGCGGGGCTGGAAACGGTGCCTAGGAGGCATGTGGGCAAATTGAGAATGAAGGTTGATGTCCTGGGCCACACAGGTTGATGATTGGTTGGATACGGGGAATACAGATGGAGAATGAGGCTCGTGGAGTTGGAATCCCTGAGACAGTAGGTCCCTGAGTCTCCCTGTGGTTGCTGCACAGCCTGGTGTGAGGATCACTGGTCTGGTCCAACCTCCTCATGCTACAAATGGGTGAGACTCGTCCAGGCTTGCCCAGTGAGTTGGTGGCACAGCCAGAAGCAAGGCCCAGGTTTCTAGACGTCCCATCCTCCTGACACTTTCCAACACATGAGGCTGCAGCTTGAGAGGAAGGTGCGGGAGAGATCTGCCTAGTCGGACATGGGTCAAACAGACAGGGCTCAGTTTGACTTTCACAACCTGGAAGAAAAATGGTCACTCCTGCCTAAGCCTCTGCAGGCAACAGAGCAATGCTGAGGGTGCATTTTGTGTTTCAGAACCCGCCAGGAGGAGGCTGATCATTCTACATCTTGTGGCCACAATGCTGACTGTCCGCCTCTCCAGACCCCTGTCAAAACTACCAGGAAAGACCCCGAGTTTCTCTGATAGAGAAAATGGAACAAGGTAAGAAACTGAAGGGTGGAGGTGGCCTTGAGGGTTGTACTTCCTGGGCAAAGCAGAGAGAGCTCGTCATGCATGGATGATGCAGGCAGTCCGGCCTGACTCTCAAGGTGTCTCCCAGTACCCGCTGTGACCAACAAGGGAAACTCAAAGGTGTCCTCAGAATGAGACCTTCCCAGGGCACACAGGGCACAGAAGAATATCTTTCATCAGGTTTTTCAACTTTTTATTTTGAAATAACTACACTGATACAAAAGTTGCCAAAACAGCACAAAAGGTTTCCATATCCTCTTCACCTAACTTCCCCAAATGTTAACATCTTGCAAAACCGTAGTGCAATCATGGAAACAGGAAATTACCACTCATATGCCATTAACAAACCTACACACCTGATTCAAATTCTGTCAAGTGGCCCACTAAGGGACCTTTCCTGGTCCAGTATACAAGCCAGGGTCCCACAGTGCATTTAGTTGTCATGTCTCCTTCTTCTCTTCCTATCTGGGGCAGTTCCTGAGTTTTGGTCATTCTTGACCTTGACACTTTGGAAGACTGTCTCTCAGTTGGGTGTGTGCAATGCCCTTGTGTTTGGATTCAGGTTCGTGTTTGGAAGGTGCTGCCCAAGGCAGGTGAGTCTTCTCAGCGCATCAGCAGTAGCACAGGGCGTTGACGTGTCTCACTACTTTGGTCACCTGGGTGACTACTCTTCAAACCTTACACATGAAGCCAGTTAAGTAAAATGTCCTGAGACTTCACTGAGCTGCTTGTGTGTTTAGAGAAAGCTCAGTACAAATTAAACAACAGCTTTTCTCTGAGAGCTCTGGACTGCCGTTCCCAGCGGGGTTGGTGTACTCTGCCACCTTGTTTTCCTCTGTTGCAGCCAGAGCAAGGACAAATACCTTTTCTTTTATATTTAAGGGGAGTGAAATTAAGTGTCAGACTAACTTCAAGTCCCAGAGCTAGAAAAATTGATGGGTATTTGCTATGTCAATACATGTGTTTGGAAGGCCATGTATTTAGGCTTACAGCAGCATTTGCTTAAAAGCATTTCCCCAGGCCCTGGCCAGTTTTGCTCAGTGGTTAGAGCATCAGCCTGCAGTCCAGAGAGACCAGGGTTCGCTTCCTGCTAAGGGCACGTACCTCGGTTGTAGTTTGTCCCCGGCCCTGGTTGGGTCGTGCGGGTGGCAGCTACTCGATGTGTCCCTTTCACGTCGATGTTTCTCTCTCTCTCTCCCTCTCTCACTCCCACTCTATCTGAACAAAAAATGGAAACATGTCCTCAGGTTAGGATAAAAAAAAAAACCACATTTTCCCGGGAGACAACAGCTTGGTTGGAGATGAGGCCTTGACTACAGAGGACACACACAGGGTTAAAATGGCCCTTCCAGCAGAGGTGAACCTCATCAGAGAGGGAATGGAGCCTGGCTGTACTGAGGGCTTTTGAGAACGGTAATTTACTGCACTTCTTTTTCATTGAGTGATTCATAGAAATGGCAAAATCTGTCTCAAACGTGGCCTTTAGAGATTTCTGAAGATTATTTTTTATAGAGAAGAAAATAATCCCAAAGGGAGTTAAATACTTTAACAGAGGTTTTATCCTCAAATGAAAGGGAAGTGAGGTATTAGTCAAGCTTCTGGCTCATTAGAGGGGAAAGAAAGGCTGTTATGGGAGATTCTGAACCTCCTGGAAGGATTGTAGACATACTGGTTAGGCTTCGGGGGCTGGAGGCAGGGTGGTCAGGGGCAGGGCTGAGTCAGAGGCATTGGCTGTCCTCAGGGCAAGTGTCAGCCGAGGTGTGTGAGGGACACTAGGTGTGTGAGGAGGCGGAAGGGATCACCGTGCTTGGATCAGACAGGAGGTCTTTGGGTGGGAAAAACTTTGGCCTGGTCATTTTGCTTTGAATCTCAGTTGGCAAGGGCCTCATAATCCTGTCCCCACCTGTGGGTGGGTCCTGTGATAGCATCCTTAACACTGACCTGACCTGACAGCCTTATATCTCCAACCATGGGGCGGGCAGTACCTCTCCCAGCAGGCCTCCTGTCTTTGGACAGTGCTCGCAGAAAGTCCTTCACATCGAGCAGAAATCTTCTCTCTTGTTAATGCCACACTTTATTCCTAAATCTGTCCCTGTAAGTCTGCCTCTGTTCATACTGAACAAGCTAATATTTTATGCCTAGGGACACCATGCCACCCCAATACTTCCCCCCACATCCTGACTTCTCATTCCATCTACATGTGTTTTCATTGCTCATCTCCCCTGGTTTCCCCACTCAGACCCAGGTCTCCTACCTGAATGATGTCCATTTGTCGTGAGCTCCTTATTGGGATGTGATGCCACCCACCCCTTCCCAGTGTATCTCTGCCTCAGAGCAGCAGTCACCTGTGCACACCATCTGTCCAGATGGAAACCTCCCCAGAGTGTCTGGATGTGGTCCCTGCCTGACACCTGACAACCCGCTCTCCTAACTGGCTCTGCACAGCCCTCAGACTTTGGATACAACCTAGCAATATAAAGAAACAAATTATTGATAATCGCAACAATCTCAATGAATCTCCAGATTATGTTGAGTGAAAAAAGCAATCCCAAGAATATATTCTCTGGTACAGCTGAGAAGGGGCTAATATCCAATGTTTATAAAGAACTTATAAAACTCAACATAAAAAAAACCCAAACAGTTCAATTAAAAAAAAATGGGCAAAGGTCTGCTTTGGCCAGGCAGCTCAGTTGGTTAGAGTGTTGTCCTGATACTCCAAGATTGTGGGTTCGATGCCTGTTCAGGGCACATGCAAAATCAAGCAATGAATGCATAATAAGTCGAACAATAAATCTCTCTCTCTCTCTCTCTCTCTACTTTCCTCTCAAATCAGTAAATAAATTTTTTTAAATGGGCAAAAGACCTCAGTAGACACTGCTCCAAAGAGGACATACAGACATATGAAAAGATGCTCAATGTCACTAATCATCGGACAGATGCAAATTAAAACAGTGCAATATCACCTCACACCTATCAGAATAGCTATCATTAATAAATCAACAAACAACAAGTATTGGCGAGGATTTGGAGAAAGGGGAACACTTGTGCACGGTCGGTGGGAATGCAGATTTGTGCAGCCACTATGGAAAGCAGTATGGAGTTACCTCAAAAAATTAAAATGGAACTGCCTTATGACCCAGTGATTTCACTCCTGGGAATATATTCAAAGAAGCCCGAAACACGAATTCAAAAGAATATATGCACCCCTATGTTCATTGCAGCATTATTTACAATAGCCAAGATTTGGAACCAGCCCAAGTGTCTCTTCAGTAGATGAGGGGGTAAAAATGCTGTGGTACATTTACACAAAGGAATACTACTCTGCCGAAAGAAGGAAATCTTTCCTTTTGTGACAGCATGGATGGACCTGGAGAATATTATGCTAAGTGAAATAAGCCAGTCAGAGAAAGACAAATACCATATGATTTCACTTTTATGTGGGATCTAATAAACAAAATAAATTAACAAACAAAATAGAAACAGATTCATCATAGATACAGAGAACAGATTGACAGCTGTCAGAGGGGGGGCGCGTAGGGGGGCTAGGTGAAAAAGGGGAAGGGATTAAGAAAAAAAAAACCCCTCATATGCCCTGGCCAGTTTGGCTCAGCAGTTGGAGCGTCGGCCTGCTGTCCTGAGAGACCCAGGTTCGGTTCCCGCTAAGGGCACGTACCTCCGTTGCAGTTTGTCCCCGGCCCTGGTTGGTCGTGTGGATGGCAACCACTCGATGTGTTCCTTTCACATCGATGTTTCTCTCTCTCTCTCTCTCCCTCTCTCACTCCCACTCTATCTGAACAAAAAATGGAAAAATGTCCTCAGGTGAGGATAAAAAACCCCCCACAAAAAACCCTCATAGATAATAGTATGATGATTACTACAGGAAAAGGGGGGTGAGGGGAGGTAGAAGAGGGTATGGGATGATAAATGGTGATGGAAGGAAACTTGACTTGGGGTGGTAAACACACAATACAATATACAGATGATGTATTATAGAATTGTACCCCTGAAACCTATATAATTTTATTAACCAGTGTCACCCTAATAAATTCATTATTTAATGAAAAATAAAAAAGCAATCCTATCCCTGGCCAGTTTGGTTTAGCAGTTAGAACACTGGCCTGTGGACCGAAGGGTCTTGGATTCGATTCCTGGTCAAGGGCACGTGCCTGTGTTGCAGGTTCTATCCCCAGCCCTGGCCAGGGTCATGTCAGAGGCACTCAATCAATGTGTCTCTCTCACACCAATGTTTCTCTCTCTCTCTCTCCCCCTCCCTCCCACTGTATCTAAAAATCAATGGAAATATATCCTCAGATGAGGACTAACAAAGAAAAGAAAAGCAATTCCAAAAAGTTACACAGTGTAAAATTTCAGTTATATAACATTCTTGAAATGCCAAAATTATAGAGATGGAGAACAGATCACTGGTTAAAGAGGATGTGGGTTGGGAGGGAAGTGGATATGGCTATAAAAGGGTAACAGGAGGGATCCTTGTGTGATGGAAATGTTCTGTATTTTCACTGCATCGATGTCAATATCCTGGTTGTGATATTGTACTATAGTTTTGTAAGATGTTAACATTAGGGGAAATTGGGTAAAAGGTATAGGATATTTCTACTATTTTTTAACTGCATGCGAATCTACAATTGTTTCAAAATAAAAAGTTAAGTTTAAAAAACTATCAGGAAGCAGCATAAAACCCAATGGCTAAGATGTGGAATTTACAGAAGGCTTTGTTAACAAAGCTGTATCACCTGAGAGTTCTTCCTACACAGTGGCAAAAATGCTACTGCAACTGCTGGCCCACTCTCTCTCAGCCTAGCAATCCTGGAGGAAACAGGACCTCGTCCTCGGTAGTACCAGCAGGATGACCCCAGCGGCTCTGGTCGGGAGACCCTCAGTGCTGCTCACTGGTGGCCCAGGGTACTCTGAGTTACTTCTGCCCCAGGAACAAGGTCACAAGGTGTGACCACAGCCTGTGCTCATGGCTTCCTTTCCTCTTGCAGGCGCACACTGCTGTTTTCCTCCTCCTCCTCGGTCCCTGTGGGTCGTCGAACTTATGCTGATACTGTGAACCCGGTGAGTGGCAGCCCAGCTACCTGAGAACCAGCCAGGTGGTCAGAGCTCTTCCCTCTGGGCCTCTGGGCCCCGAGTCACCCTCCCAGCAGGACTTCAGAGCTTCCAGAACACTCAGAGCCACTTTCTCACATTTTTAACCTCCGCCCCCGGCCCCCAAACCTCCCATCAAATGAGTTTTAAAAATTTTTTTTTTTTTTTAATCCTCATCCGAGGACATTTTTCCATTTTTTGTACAGATAGAGTGGGAGGGAGAGAGAGGAAGAGAGAGAGAGGGAAACATCGATGTGAAAGGAACACATTGAGTGGCTGCCACCCGCACGACCAACCCAGGGCCGGGGACAAACTGCAACCGAGGTACGTGCCCTTAGCGGGAACCGAACCCGGGTCTCTCTGGACCACAGGCAGATGCTCTAACCGCTGAGCCAAACCGGCCAGGGCCATCAAATGAGTTTTAGAGGTTAAGAGTTTGGACTCTAGACTCTCACAGGCCTGGTTTCAATTCCATTTCTATCACTTAGTATGTTGGACATTTAAGAAATATCTGTGACCTTACTCATCGTGTGGTATAATCACGGTAACTACTGTATGGAGATGTTATGAGAATTAAGAATAACCCCTGCACCTGGTGGATGATGAGGGTGCCAGTGGTGGTGGTGGTGGAGATGATGGGGATTGTCAGTAAGAGAACTGAGGTCCAGAAAGGGGACCTCAAGCAACATTATTAGTTGCTGGCGGAGTCTGGGTAAGAACTGATTCTCAGTCCAAGCTTTTCCCACTAGACTATGGCGCTTCTCCAGACAGGCCAGGCAGTGGGCCAGGCCTGGTCCACTCCGGAAGCACTGGCTGTTACTGCCTGCAGGAGGACTGGTCACTCTGCCCTCAGGGTCCTGGTTCCTAATGTGAGCTCTAACCTTCTAAAATAGGTTGGCAGCAAAGCTCTCCTGGTCACAGGATGTGATTCCGGATTTGGGTTCTCCTTGGCCAAGCATCTGCATTCTAAAGGCTTCCTTGTGTTTGCTGGCTGCTTGCTGAAGGTAAGAGATGGCTCATCTTTGTCACCACTGTTCTTCATACACAGCCATTGTTTTATAGGTTATTTTTATTGTAATAAAGTACACATACCATAAAACTTACCATCTTAATTATTTTTAAGTATACTGTTCAATGGTATTAAATATGCTCACATTGTCTAAGTACCTCAAATAAGTAGAATCGTACAGTGTTTGTCTTTTGTGACTGGCTTATTTCACTTAGCATCATGTCTTCAAGGTTTGTCCATGTTGTAGTACATTACAGAATTTCTTTTGTAAGGCTGAATAACATTGCAGCGTATGTAGATATTACATTTTACTTATCCATTTATCTGTTGATGGACACTTGAGTTGCTTCCATGTTTCAGCTACTGTGAATAATGCAGCTATGAACACGGGCGTGCAACTAGCTCTTCAAGACCCTGTTTTCAGTCCTTTTGGGCACATACCCAGATGTGGAATTGATGATCACAAAGTAATTCTGTTTTTAATTTTTTGAGGAATTGTCAAAGTCTTCCACAGCAGCTGCATCGTTTTACCTCCCCACCAACAACGCACAAGGGTTCTAATTTTTCTACATCCCTGCCAATACTTGTTTTCTGTTTTTAGGTAGTAGCCATCCTAATGTGTGTGAGGTGATGCCTCACTGTAGTTTTTTTTTTTTTTTTTTTTATCCTCACCCGAGGACATTTTTTCATTTTTTGTTCAGGTAGAGTGGGAGGGAGAGAGAGAGAGAGAGAAACATCGACGTGAAAGGAACACATCGAGTGGCTGCCACCCGCACAACAGACCAGGGCCGGGGACAAACTGCAACCGAGGTACGTGCCCTTAGCGGGAACCAAACCCGGGTCTCTCAGGACCGCAGGCTGACGCTCTAACCGCTGAGCCAAACCGGCCAGGGCTCACTGTAGTTTTGATGTGTGTTTTCATGTGCTCATTGGTCATTCATATTATCCTATTTGGAGAAATGTCTATTCAAGCCCTTTGCTGATTTTAGAATTGCGTTGGGTTTGTTGTTGAGTTTTAGGGGTTTTCTATATATTCTGGATATTAATTTCTTATCAGTTATATAATTTGCAAACATATTCTCCCATTCTGGGGGTTTTCTTTTTACTCTGTGGGTAGTGTCTTTCGATGTACAAAATTTAAAAATTTTATTAAGTCCAGTTTGCCTATTTTCTTTTGTTGCCTATGATTTTGGTGTCATATCCAAGGAATCATGACCAAATCCAATACCATGAAGCTTTTGTGCTATGTTTTCTTCTAAGAGTTTTATTGTTTTAGGTCTTACATTTAGGTCCTTGATCCATTTTGGATTAATTTCTGTGTATGGTGTTAGGGAAGGGTCCAACTTTATTCTCTTGCAGGTGGATCTCCAGTTTTCCCAGCACCGTCTTCTGAAAAGACTGTCCTTTCCCCTACTGAATGGTCCTGGCACCCTTGTCAAAAATTGTTTGACTGTATATGTGAGGGCTTATTTCTGGACTCCTTCAGGACTCATCCAGTGGAACTTAGGGTGCATGAAGGGAAACACTGGGACATGAGGCTGCAATAGTAATTAGGGGACAGTTTCCCCCTCCCTCCTTACCTCCCACTGTATATAAAAATCAATGGAAAAATATCCTCAGGTGAGGATTAAAAATAATAAAACAAACAATAAATAAAATAAAAGGCACACTCAGAGTCATGTTACTCTCCCACCTATCTTTTTTTTATCCTTACCCAAGGACACCTTTCCACTCTTTGTTCAAATAGAGTGGGAGGTGGAGAGAGGAAGAGAGAGAGAGAGAGGGAGGGTGAGAGAGAGAGAGAGAGAAAGAGAGAGAGAGAGAGAGAGAAACATCGACATGAAAGGGACACATTGAGTGGCCGCCATCCGCACGACCCAACCAGGGCTGGGGACAAACTGCAACCGAGGTACGTGCCCTTAGCGGGAACTGAACCCTGGTCTCTCCAGACCGCAGGCCGACACTCTAACAGCTGAGCCAAACCGGCCAGGTTTTTTCATTTCCCAATTCTTACACAAATGTTTGCATACTGCATATACCCTTTTACAGTGAAAACAAACTTACTGTGCCTTGGGAACGACTCCACTTGAGTTCATAGAGCTCTTTCTCACTCTTCAGAAACGGCATTATAATTCTCCCCTGTGGTGGACCATCATTCGCTCCACCAGCCTCCTATGTGTGAGCACTGTTTTTCAAAATTTTGCAATTACAAATAAAGCCACAATGAGTAACCTTGTGTGTATGTATTTTTGTATTGTTGAGGGATTTATCTTTAAGGTAAATTCCTAGGAGTGAGATTACTCTAGGTCAAAGGGTTAAAAAACTATGTCCTCATTAAAAATTATCTCCAGCCCTGGCCGGTTTGGCTCAGCGGTTAGAGCGTCCGCCTGCGGTCCGGAGAGACCCGGGTTCGGTTCCCGCTAAGGGCACGTACCTCGGTTGCAGTTTTTCCCCGGCCCTGGTTGGTCGTGCGGGTGGCAGCCATTCGATGTGTCCCTTTCACGTCGATGTTTCTCTCTCTCTCTCTCTCCCTCCCACACTCTATCTGAACAAAAAATAGAAAAAATGTCCTCGGGTGAGGATAAAAAAAAAAAAAAGGAAAAATTATCTCCAAATTTCCTATTATAGAGGCTGAATTTTACATTCCCACAAACAATGTATGAGCATACTTGTTTTCACACAAATTCACCAACAGAGTGCATGTCAAACTTTTGATTTGTGCCAAACTGATAGGTGAAACATGTATCTCAGTATAGTTTTAGTATGTGTTTCTCTCATTGTGAGTCCACGCCCCTGATCTTTGAAGGCATGATCCAGAAATTGCCCAGCTGTCACCTGTGCTGTCGCTCTATTGGCCAGGATGTAGTCACATGGCCTTACCTGACTGCTGGGGAGGCTGGGGAATGTGATGTGTATTTTGAGATAACATGTACCCTGCGTAAAGCCAGAGGATTGACTACTATAGAAGAAGGAAAGATGGTATTTGGGACAACTTGCTGTCTCTACTCAGTGGCTGAGACATTTTTTCTTTATTCTGAAGGTAATAGGAACCCAGGGAAGAAATTTTTTTATACTAGGTTTAATATCTGTATGAAGAATATCTGTTCAATGTAACAATTTCAACAATTTGAACAAGCACAAATAATAAAGTAATTTGCATTGCCATGATCTGAATATTTCCAGATCACAGAATAATTTGTCCTTTTACTTATTTTTTAAAAATGTTTTTCATTGATTTTTGAGAGAGAGGAAGAGAGAGAGAGAGAGAAACATTGATGTGAGAGAAAAACATTGATCAGCTGCCTTCTACACTCCCCCTACTGGGGATTGAGCCCGCAACCCAGGGCATGTGCCCTGACTGGGAATTGATCTGGGACCTCTCAGTCCATGGGATGATGCTCAATCTACTGAACCACACTGGCCAGGCTTATTTGTGCTTTTAGTTGTCACTTCTTTTGGATTATGAAAGTAATTCATATTCATAAGAGTCAAACAACACAGAAGTGGATGACGTAAAAATGTGAAATATTTTCAGATCAGTCTCTTGCCCCAAAGTAACTAAAATGCATGTGTATACATTATTTGTGACTTTTGTTATTATAAACAAAGCCACAGTGAAAAGTCTTGCACATATCTTTGTATTCTTTCATTAGTAATTCTTAGGAAAAATTTCTAGATGTGAAAGTGCTAGGTGGAAAGGTGTGTAGATCTTAGATTTTATTCGTGTCTGCCCAACTTCTCCCCAGAAGGCTGTACCTATGCTGCTCCCTCTGACAGTGCACGAGGGAACTTGTTTCAGGAGGGGTTTGGGGGGCGACGGGTGTGGCATGCTTGTAGCTGAGTTCTCTGTGTGATGTGGACCTGCCAGGCTGTGATGCCATAAAACGTTTTATGCTTTTAAAGTCCCTTGTGCATATGTTCAGCATCTGTTCCATTGTCTGGCTTGTCCAGTGACACAGGGGCTGCACCTGACTCCAGAGTGCAGGGCAGAGGCTGCTCAGTGCTGCAGGAGAGCCTTCGAGACTGAGTGAGGGCCTTGAGTTCTAGTCCCAGGTCTGCCACTAACCCAGGGACTGGCAGACAATTCTCTGGGCTGCGGTCTGCTCTTACTTATAATAAGAGGGTTAGGTTAGGTGATCTGAGGTCCTTCCACTCCTACAGCAGTGATTCTATGACTTAGGGACTGGAGTTATGAAGAAAAGGCTAGATAAGATCACTGCCAGGTTATATCTGTCGGTGTCTACCTCTGAACTATTTTGGTGTCATGGTCTGTCTTTTCGGGGAAAAATCTAGAAGGGCAGAAGTCACTAGGGTTCTAAAAAATGTGTTTCTATTTTTTTCTGGTGTCTCATATTAGATATGCAAATCAGAAAGCAGTCAGAGCCACCAGAGAGTTGAGTCACCAAAGCCATAGGAATTGAGGAGCTTAGTCTACAGCCTGGTTCTGAGCCGTTAAGCCACGTGACAAATTCCAGCTACTTCTGTGCCCAGACTTTCCGCCTGCCCTATGTAGAGTTTCCTCTCCTCTTGTGCTTTAGATCTCAGTCCTTGGACCAGCTGAAGGACTCGGCTCCAGCAAACGTATCCACCGTCTTACATCATTAACTCGTTGCCCTCCACTGGGTCATTTTGTCATGCCCACCCCCATCCTGTGTACCCTGCCCCATTTTTCTGTTTCTCTTTCTAGAAAAGAGAAAGAGAAGCTTGTTTGTAGTAGATGTTTTCACTTTCAATTTTCTTTCCAACCCATTTGGATTGGGTTTTTGTGCCTATCACTCTGTTCATTCATTCATCCAACAAATATTTATTGAGTACCTACCATGAGCCAACAAAATTCTATTAAGATAGAGCATATTACAATGCAGTGAAAGTTCTTGCCCTTGTGGTACCTACATGGAGGGTGAGTGGGGAGATAGGCAACGAATATGATAAACAGGTGCATTGCTTCTCTGTGGGATGATAAAATGCTCTGGAGAAAAATAAAGCAGGACAGGA